CGCATGCAGAAGCATGTGCTTATAAGTCAGATAGATCAGCTGGAAACTAGGGTTTAATAAACTTCCCGTCTTTCCTAAATATAGGAAGGAAGCTTCATAAAACTATCTTGGAAATTCCCCCAGCTGAAATCTTGATATATATCAGTTATCAGATTTCATGTCGCCTTCTCACAAAACTTAACTACAACATAGTTGATTACCGGAAAGAGGAAAACGTACAACATTATTACATACAAAAGATTATAACTAATTGTTTAATCCCCCTTTCTCGACATCTTGTCTCTTCAAGTGTTCCGTCTTGTAAGAAATGAACACAAGCTGGGACCCTATCCCTCGTGCATGCATGCATTTCTTTTATTCTACACCCGTTGATGTCTCTAACAGCCCCACAATATTATCTTAATAACTTGATATTTAATACACTACGTTATTCGAACTTGAATATATAAATATCACTAGGGATGGATCGAGTGGGTTGGAGGGTGCGATCGCACCCCCTAGAAATTTTAAGTTCCCTTGTATATTTTGTTGATTATCTAATTTCATATCTCTAAAATTTTATAACTTTGAACCCTTATAATTTTTAATATAACTTGTTAAGTTCTGTAACACCCCAATCGGTACCCGGCCCGGATACGAGTCTGAAATGTCACATTGACTTTTTAAAACAATCTTCTTATAAAATAATAGAACATTTGGACTTTTATTAAGAAAATACAATAATATATTGTTGAATTATGTTTCGTTGTAACAAATTTAAGGCAAAAATGTTTTTATAAATAGTATTGTACTGTATGAATAGTATCGATACTGTGTGAATAGTAATGAACAATACCGATGCATAAAAACACATAATGTAAAAGGTGTATCGATACTGCTACAGTGTACCGATACCATGCTACAGTGTACCGATACCCTGCTACAATAATTTTAGCCAAACATATATAAAAGTCATAAAAATTTAAACTTTCATCACTATAAATTACCATTTACATATATATGTTCAAAACATTACAAAAGTCGATAAGAGCATACATACTTAATTTAATAATTTTGTTTACATGCCAACCTATTTATCATATAACAAGACATACTGTGTAATTTACTTTTGATCTGATCTTCAAGTGGAGATATGTTGTTCTGCTGAGCTTATATTGGATCTTTCTGCTTTTCGGTACCTACGTGTAAAACGCTTACATGCTAAGTCATAGACTTAGTGAGGCATAATGATAAATGTTATAATGATGTGAAATGTTATGAACTCGCATATTTAATCCATGCAAATTGCATAACAATGTATCTTACCCATAATCTGATCAAATTAACCATCATGAATTCATACAATAAGTTCACTAGCCCATGATACAATACTGAGAACCCGAGGTATGTGAGTATTGTGAGGTTGTGCACTATGTTGTCACCACAGCTCGTATATATTCCCACTAGGGGCACGTAGAATTTGTCCCGAATGACCGTGTAGAAATGCATCGAAGTGCCATATAAGATGTCCATAAGGACCACGTAGAAATTCCTTAAGAATCATATACATATGCCAATGATCAAGTATGTGTCTCAAAAGACCTCACACATGTTCCAAATAACACATATATGTCCTGAAGGACCGCGTAGACCCTCTACTCTTGGCATGCCAACTATACCTATAGTTCTCATCGACATAACATGTGCTTTCACCATTCACGTAGTATATCTCATAAACATATAATTTCCTTACCTTTATAACATGGCTCATAAACTTTTCATGCATGTTCATTTCAAACATATCACATAATGCATATGGTATGAATTCATATAATGTTTCATAATATAGAATGAATCATATATCAAGATATTAAATTTGGACTTATCACAAGTCTAGAACTGAATATACTAACATAATCATGCTATGTATATACATTCACCTATATTTTCTTGTCTTTTACTCGATCAATCCTACTTGTCAATTGTTTCGGAACTTGTTTAGGCTCTGTATCTACATAAATATAATTTTCAAGACAATTATCATAAGCCTAAACCTTATAACTCAATGCTAATAACTTAAACTAATTTAATCAGCTAAAATTCCTATTTTCTTTTAGGAGTGTACCGATACACCTTTAAAATTGGTCTTAGTGTATTGGTACCCATTCATAGTGTACCGATACACCCTGCCTAGATCAGACTTTTTCACCCGAAAATTCCACAACTTTTCATTAAATTTCCTTATATAAAACTTCTTTTATATCACCCAACACAACTACAACCATTTTAACTAACTTCTATCATTCCAACACCTTATTATCTCCCATATCTCATTCAGATTCTTAAAACTAAGGGGTTGTTTGTTTGCCTCTTAATGGAACCATTCAGCGCTGAAATCTGAACCGTTCATCATTCAGCGCGTTTGTTCCGCACCTCTGAATGATTCAGTGCTGACTGATTCAGCAAAACAGTGTTGAATGATTCAGCACAGAAGTACATTATGAATGATTCAGAGCCATTATCAAACAACATGTCACATTCAGAGCTAATTCATACATAGCCTCTGAATCATTCAGCATTTGAATCATTCAGCGCTTAATCATTCTGAAGTAAACAAACAACCCCTAAGAATCTTACTAAATTTTCCATGTAATCCAAACTTACTTCTAACACTTATAACTTCTTATTCATACCTATGACGAGTCAAATTTAACTTCTAAATTCATTTATATGTCCTTATTCAAAATTTTACTTATCCACTTCTTATCCTTTAATCCTTCATAACTTACAAATCTTTCAGTTTCTATGACCTTTTTCATCTCCATCCTATTTCCTAACTAGAGGTGGGTATATGGGCTAAGGCCCGCGGGCTACCCCGTTTAACCCGCGGCCCGTGCGGGTTTTGGATATAAAAAACTGAAGCTCGTTTAAATTGCGGGCTTTTTAGCCCGGATCGTTAAACCATCGGGTTTAATGGGTATAACCGCGGGTAGCCCGTAATAGCCCGCTTAATTTAAAATTTATAAAATTTTAGAGAAAATAAACTTAAAGAATTTTATAGAAAAAGAAAATAAATTACCTATAAATATGATGTTACTTATAACCATTGTAGTTCTTAAATTTATTAAGACATTTGTCATAATTCTACCGTTGCTTGATTTTTTTTTTCATTTACAATGTATCAAATTATTCTTCATTTTAAAAAATAAAAGTTAAAAGATTTATATAGTATTTTAGTCTTATAAAATTTACATCATTATCACTTTGGTATTTAAAGATTTTTTTAATTTAATTTTGACCTTTATTTTTTCATGAAGTATGTTATCAATTTCGTTCTTTAATTATAAAAAGTCACGCGATATTCTAATAATATATCACATGATACGTAATATTTGGATTAAAAATAAGAAAGAAAAGTAAAAGAAAAAATTGAAAACATACTTTTCAACTTTTAAAGGCTTTTACAAAAGAAAAATTGTTAAATTTGTATAATGTTTAACTTTGTTGAGTTTTTCTGTTTGAATTTCTGCTTGCAGACACTTCTGTGTCTTCATATTATAGCCTTGAATAATCGTGTTTTATAAAAGTATAATGTGGTTATTGTTTTATTTTTTTTTCAATTTGGTGATATAAGTGAATATTATTTTTTTAAATTTGAGTTTAAGTAATTATATCGTTATATATATATATATATTAATGATTAAAAAATAAAAAAAAATATTATTTTATAATAATTTCCGGCTATTTAAAATAAAATTTAAATATTATTTATTATTTTGACGGTTTTACCTTCCTTTTCAAGTTACTGGATCATTTTTAAAGGTTTAGCAAGTTATAACATTATTTTTTATTGCATTTAAAATTATTTTTATTTAACGGGCCGCGGGTAAGCTCGTTTAACCCGCGGGTTAAACGGACGGGCCGTGGGCCTTAAAATTCAAAATCGTTTATGATTGAGGGCTTTTTAAACCGCTCTGTTTAAGCCTGCATCATCAAAACCCGGGAACTAAACGGGCGGGTAGGCCGTATACCCACATCTATTCCTAAGTCTTCCTTAACCAAAACCATACTTGAATTTTAATGATTAACCAAAAGAAATCCAACTTACCTTAGCTTGGGTGCTTCACGTTGGAGAAGAAGAAGATGAGAGAATTGTCCGGAAACATTTGTTTCCCAAAACATGCTCCACATTGGTTATAAAATAACCCCAAATAATATTTAATTATTTTTTTTATTCAATGACTCCTTTACCCCTTTCTTCTTCCTTCATTTTCTAATTCATCCTTCACCAAATGTTTTAATTAAATATTTGAATTTTTCTCAATTTATCTAATTTGGTCACTGAAATTTAAAATCTCACAATTTGATCAGTAAACCGGTATTGAGGATGTTACAAGTTCGCACCCCCTAACATAAATTCATATATTCGTCCCTGTCTGTCACATATATAATGTTGTAAAAACGATCTCAATAATAAAAGAGAATATTATTTTTCTTAAATGTTCGAGTTCAAGTAGTTAAACGTACATTGTCAATGACTAAAACTCTAAAAAATATCATCTTCTAATCAATTTAGACTATTAAAAAAATTATATTCTCAATCTTATCTATCCGAATATACGTATAAGAAAAAGAAACATTTTGGGTGGCTTATGCGGATGGTTCCTGCAAACAAATCTGGTCCCTTAGCTGTTACCAATTGCCCCACGCCCGTACTCTGAAGGAGACTTTCTTATGCCTTTTCTGACGGATCTCAGATCTAGTTTAGGATATGTTGTCCTTAATAGAATCAATATAAAGCCAGGTTCAAGTACTGTTGATTAGCCTGAATCCATCGCTCGAATTCTCCTCGACTAATTCCTTTGTTTTCGACTATGGCAAATCTGAATTTCAGTAATTCAGTGCTCTCAGGGACTTGCATAACTCAGCTAATGACCTCCTTCACTTGCCGATAATCAAGCGAGCACTCGTTCACCAGGGTCGAGAAATGGGTTCACCAAGTATCCGAATCGTCTCTCAGGATGTTGGATGTCTGCGGCATTTCCCGAGACATTCTTTTGCTCGTCAAGGAACACGTCCAGGATCTGCAATTCACTCTGCGCCGAGTGAGCACCGACGAGTCCGATATCGGAACCAAGGTGGCGGTTTACCACCGGTACTCGAAGAAGCTAAAGAAAGAGACTCTCAAGTGTTTGCAATCGCTAAAAGGGATGAAAAACATGCCTATAGCCAACGACGTCGTAACAACCATCGACGATAACCTGTGGATGGTTGTGGATGTGCTACGAGAAGTAAGAGTGACAACGATATCCGTGGTGGAGTCACTGCTTTCCCTCGTTTCGATTCCGTGGCTGGAGAGAAAATCGGGTAAAGAGTACTTCGGATCGAAGTTCATGCGATCGAGTTGGCAGAGATTTTATGATATAAGCAATGAAGTGGCGGTTCAGAGCGCGAATAAACGATTGCAGGCAGTGGAAATAGCGATCGAGGATCTTGAAGCTGAGCAGACCAGATTAATCAAGACCAGATTTCTACTTCTTAACATACTTACCAACTAATCAACAAACAATATGAATATTTGACCTTTTTTTTCCTTTTCAATTGGAAATTACTCATTGGTTAGCTGTTATGCTAATTAAAACTTGATAGCTGGATAGGCTGATTTAATGACTGAACAACCAAACGCTTCTGTATTCTTTGATTCTTTTTAATAAGATGACAGTCCTAATTATTGGTATCTTGTTAAATTTATTAAGTCATTAATCATTATATTCTTTTTCAATAGTATTTTATGATTGTAAGATAATATTTATTTAAAATATTTCTTTAACATAAGATAAAATACGTCTATGATATACCCGCAGACAAACCTAGTCCTCCAGAGAATTTAATATCTTATTTTATCCCTGGGTCATTCAATAGGTTTATTGTAAAATTAAAATTAAATATAAAATATAATACCAAATTGTGATGAAATAAATACACATGAATGTTTCCGTGTCTAGTATTTCTCCCTCGGATAACCTCGTCTTAAGCTAACCAGCAGTGTTTAAATTAAGCATCCAATTTGTTGGATTAACATTGTATAAATCAATAATTGATTGCATGTATTTAGCTTTATAGGTCCCAAAGCAACCAACATAATAATTGCTTATAAACGTAGACAAAGCACGGTTGGATGCCCAGCCTAATCCAACAATTGATTATATTAATAACGATCATATTCATATCAACTATTAATTTAAACTTTAACATTATAAATAAATAAATTTGAATTAAAAGACATTTCTATAATAAATATTCATAATATTCAATTTAAATTAATTAATATTAAAAATATAATATCTGCTAAATATATCCTAAATATAGGAAATAAATAAACATCGGCGGTGGTTCACTGTTCCCTAAACACATCCAATGGGGACGAGATGATCTTGCTGCGCTGCTGAATCAAATTTATTTGTTTTTCTTTCGTATGCGTAAATTGCCAGATTAACAACTAACTTAATTAGCTTAATACAAGTACATCAATCACAATCTAAACTACTATTAGGCTTAATCATTAATTGAATTTTTTTCTCTCAGTAGCTTGTTTAATCTACTCTTTTTTTTCGGTAACTAAGGAAAAGTATCTGTAACTAGTCTAGTCTTACTAATCTATTTCTTCTGCTCTTAGAGCTTCCTGAATGCCTTCTGGGAGCGTCGTTACAATATGGCATCTGCCATCGTCCAGCTGATCTAATTCGGCCATGAAATCCGCTATGTGATTACCTTCTCGTAGTATGTGCGTCACTTTTAACTCCCACTCCTGTTGTATCAACTTTCTGTGATGATGTCCCAGTATTAACTCTAATCCCATGTGTTCCTTTTCGTTGAAATTCCTCCAAATTTCCAAGTTATCTACCTCCACTATAGGCCTTCTTACTCCAAGATCCCTTGCTCCTTTGAGCCCTTCGATTCGAACATTCCCCATAACTCGGCATCTAGACTCGTCCACGTTCCGATCGTCTTATGGAAACCCCACTTCCATTGACCTGTATCTTCTCTCATCACTCCTCCACAGGATGCAAGCCCGGTTGAGTTGTTCCTTGCTCCATCTGTATTTAGTTTGAGCCACCCTGACCATGGTGGATTCCATCGGGTTGCAGCATGTTTTCCCCCTCAGCTTGGAATTCTTTGGCTACCGTTTCTGTTCTTATCTCAGCTACTAACCTTCTACTACGTTCCAGTATTGTTTCTTGTTCAATATTCTCCGGATCGAAAATTCTTTGTTTCATTGCAGCCAGAGAAACCAAATGATAGCACCAAATAGTATGTCCCATGATTCCTCTCCTCCGCAAAGTAAGATGAATTTGACAAGTTCTTATATACCATTCTCGGATGTTGGATGAAAAGAATTATGTTGTTTTGTTCGTTTTGACGAATGTTAACCAGATCGTTTTTGCAGTGAACATTCAATCAAATCGAATTAAATTAATTTGTTCAAATTAAATTAAAAGATAATCTAATTAAAACTTATCAATAACATGACTGAATTCTAACTCTAAACTGAAGTGAATAACTTTAAAACCATATATGTTTAACAAAACAATATATTTTGCTCATGCCTTACCTCATCTATAGTTGACATGATACTCTTTCGATATAGATTTTTAAATTTAAAATCTTTATTAATATATAGTATGGTATCGACTAATATCAAGAATACTTCAACCGAACAAAGGGGCGCACAAGCAACAACACATTCATTCAGACAAATCCATGCTTAAAAACCAACAAAAACCAAAGTACCAATGGAGTTTCGTTTTTGTATCTCATCATCCCTACAATCTTTCTTCACATTCACTTTATTCAAAACGAATAATTTAACAAGAAGACAATCAGAACAGCATCTCCAACAGCAACCTATAATCCGATAATCGTCTTACAGCTGCTGCTAAACACATTGCCAATAATCACTACAATAGAAAATCAAGTTTCTTTGATCAACATGGATATAATATCACCTAAACTACACTTGGACGAGTATCGGAACAAACACATATATGGCAGAAAAGATATGATCTAAATGTCTGAGCAGATGAATATTAACATCCTAAGGACTCCTAACCGAGCTACATACGTATAGGAAGGATAAACCTTTGTTTATCTCATCTCTATTATCATATTAGTAAAAAAATAGTTGACCCTATTCCCATATATAATGGGATAAGGGAGAGGTAGGGTAGTAGGCTGCCCCCAACACCAGGTTGAGAGCAGCTTCCGTTATGAATTGCCCTCAGTGGGACTCGATCCCACGACCGCAAGGTTAAGAGCCTTGCACTCTACCAACTGAACTAGACGGGTAAGACTCTATTATCGTATTAGTGATGATCCTTAATCCCTTATGCATACATATGCAGATGACATTAATTACATGACCACTATAGCAGACCATAAAGCCTTAAAGTTATACGGACTCAAAGCACAAAATATATAGGCATAAATCTGAATGTAACAACGCACTGGAATTTCAACAACACCTCATGGTACATGAAAAAGGATAAACCTTCTAAGCATCGAGAAAACTCCTTTCGTAAATGCAAAATTGAAATTAAACAAGCCATACTATGCAGTCGCATAAAAAGAAAAAACAGTACCTAATGCTTGTCTCCATGATCGTGAGAATGATCACCATGGCCCTCCCAAGGGTGTCGCCAACCCTAACAGCGACAAAGTCAGTCCAGGACTAGAAGCAAGTTAATAAGGATTGATATTGAAGGCATATGAAACAAGGAAATTCTTACCAATACAACAGGACCATCTTGCTTAGCCCTGTACATGACCCAAAACCTGAAACACGCCATATATCAAGAAACTTCAGAAAATCCACCAGCATTTCAATATAATATTTATTAGTGTTTGCAAGAAACGTCGCTTCAGATATCATACCGACAATATATTCAAAGCAAAATCACAACCATCAGCATCATTAATCAAATGCTTGCGCAACAACAACTTAACCAGGAAAACAAGATAAATTCTAAGAAATAAAACCCTCAGAGAATCAATTAACTTGATCCGAATCGAAGCCTTTACTGCATAAATTTTCAGCTAAACCCCCAGTTCACTATAAATTAAATTTTCACCTTCACAGCACATCCATGAATTCTATCTTCAGCAACGCAAATTAAAATTGCATCCAATTCCCACATTTCTAGGCTCAACAGAATCATCCAATAAACGCCGATTGATGACGAACCAAGATAGATTAATTCAAAGAAAAGAAAAACGAAAAGGGGACCAAAAGATTACCACATGACAGCGCACAACCCTTTGCCGGTGACGACATGCCATCGCTTTGGGTGATGCAAAGTTACACCTTTGTAAGTTGTACTCCCTCCATGGCCTCCTCCCATCTCTCTGCAATCGAACCCTAAATCACCAGAAGATGGTCCCGAATGTGCGAAGCTGGATAAAAAATCACGTGCCGGTTGCTTTGATTTAAGCCGATCCCCAAACCGTCGGATGAGAAATTTATCAAATGAAGGCCCGATTCTCATATGTGCTGGACCGGATCATAGATTCGTTTCTCTTCGTTATACCAGGCTTTCGAGTATCGGCTAAACACAATTGACAAAACCTAATACCAAGCCCAGTTCCCAGAAATCTGATAAATATTAAATTGAGTTAACTGCATCAAATGTCCCTAAACTATTATTTGGATTCTAAATTAGTCCCCGTTATAATTTAATCCTCAAACTATCATAAAGGTTCTAAAAGCCTTTAAACTTTTTTGCGTCCAATTAAATTTTTTACTTCGAAATTTTATCAATTAACCTCTTTAATCGACATTGGTTATTAAATCAAATAATATTTTCTTTGGAATCTACTGACGTCACGTATTACATTAAAATATGAACATAAAATGTTTTTGAAAACATTTTTATTTAAAATATATAAAAATTTAAAAATTAAAGTGGACAGTCTTCAAAGTAATAAATACGAGAAAAAAACTAGTGTTATTTTTAGATAGATATGGAATAAATAGTTGACCTCAAAACAATAATTTAATCGGATAATCTCCGAATTCTGACTTTAAAATTATAAATAATTAAAGAATACAAATTAAAAATTTATTATTTTTATATAAAGAATTAACAGACAAATTCTAAAATATTAAATATGTGGTTCATGTCTTTGTAAAGTGTTGACACAAATAAAATTGAATCACACTCATTGATCGTTTAAATTAGAAGAGATAAAATATGTACGACCACTGCAGCTTATTTGCTCCAAAAACTAATTTATTGAATTATATATATAATAAATGATCAGGGAATAATTGTAATATTTATGAATATAATTACTGAATTAAATACATGATACAGGTTGTATAGAAATGAAAAACGCCTATTTATATTGGGAAACCATGAAAGTCATAGTTAATCTAACTATTAGAGGTGGCAATTCGGTATGTTCGGTAGAGGGTTTTAGTTTATTTTAATGTATATAACTACTATTTCTTATTAAATAAAATGTATTATATTTTAAAGATAAAAATATTTAAATTCAAACTCATAATCTTTAAAATTATATATTTTTTAATTTACAAATATAATTATATCTACGTGTAGGGGTGAGCGTTTGATCGAGTCGAGCTAAAAAATTTCAAGTTATTCGAGTTGGCGGGTCATATTTTATAAATAGAAGTTGACCTGAAAATTTTCAAGTCGAGTCGAGTTGAATTTTCGATTTTGTAAATATTTATAATATTATGATATTATTTGATTCTAATTTAAATATTTTTTTATAACCATATACAATACATATATATTTATTCATATTTTGTATATGTAATATACATATATCATATTAGAGTCGAAGGAATTTACTCAAACTTGAATCAATCCAATAATTACTAAAAATTTTGAGTTATTTGAATTACTATTCGAGTTATATTTTACAACTCGATTTGAACTTAAACTTTTTCGAGTTGAGTCAAATTTATGAAATTACGACTCGATGTTAATTTGATTTGAGTTGAAAAATTAATTTTTTGAGACGAGCCGAGTTTTGCTTACCCTTATCTACGTAATCTAAAATTTACATTAATTTATTATTTTTAATATTTAATTTTACCTTACTCCTCAAATTAGATTAAAATAATGTGCATAATTATATATTATTTAATTATTAAGTATTTTTACTGAAAAATGTGCGTATCGATAAGAAGGTTTAACATAAAAATATAATTACTTAAATTACATATAAAGTTAACTTTAAGTGTTTAAGAATTTTTCATTTAAAATAGGTGTCTAACATTTTTAACTGTACATTTTTAAATGTCTACATGGTAATGATTATTAAAAATGACTGTTATTTAACACGTGTCATATTTATAAGTTAGGAATTAAAAAAACACTTAAAAATATTATTAATTTTAAAATATATCAATTTTTTAAACTACAAAAATAAACTCTAAAATCTCTCATTTCATCTCTCTTATCATTCGTTGTCAATCATATTCGATCACTATCTCTATTGTCGTCGTCCACCCATTACTTGATCGTCACCTTTCTCGCAGTCTCAAACCTTTAAACACAAAAAAACCTTAAATCTCTATTCTTAGATTTAATAAGCGGGGATTTAGTTGAGATTTAATCTTAACAATTCTATGGTATTTGGTGTTGCGGAAGACGGCTATCTGATAGAGCAAAATCGCAACTAATAATTTGAGAAAATAAAAATGAAGATAAAAGAGACACAAAATTTACATGGAAAACCCCTAAATAATATAGGGTAAAAACCACGGGCAACGGTAGAAGAATTTCACTATGAGAAAAAATAGGAATTACAACCCCTCTCGATCTACCAAGGAGAAAACAATGATAATTCTCTCTTGATAAAAAGGAGAAAACAACTCTCAAGAAACTCTCTAAATTCTCTCTAGTATTTGAAGAAAACTAGAATGCTTTGGGATGGTTTTGAAGCTAAATGAGCTAGGGTATATATAGCTAAATCTTAAGGACTTAATCTTGTAAATACCCTAAAGTTTAGTGATTAAATTTTGTAATTATACCTTACTAAAATCAACCAAAGTTGGCTGCCCACTTAGACTAAATTAGCAGCCGGCTGCTGCCACTACAATTGACAAAGCCAAATTTGACTTTTCAACAATCTCTCACTTGAAGATTTGATTGGAACAATAATATCTTCATACCATTCTTTCTACCTTGTACCATCATGTTACTTACGTCTCTGACAGGCCACAAGAGGATTGACACCAGGTAAATTTATCAGCATTGATTGCTTTCGTCATGAAATCTGCTATGTTGTCTTTAGTATAGATCTTCTGCATATCTACCGTCCCTTCTTCCACCTTTTCACGAATGAAATGGTATTGAACTCGTATGTGCTTTGTCCTTGAATGAAATGCTGGATTCCTTACTAGATGCAAGGTGCTTTGACTGTCACAAAATAGAGAGACATACTCTTGATTGTGCCCAAGCTTCTCCAATAACATCTTCAACCAAATTGCTTCTTTACTGGCTTGTGTAGCTGCTACATATTCTGCCTCTGTTGTGGATGTAGCCACAACGGACTGCAATTTTGAAACCCAGCTTACAGCTCCATCAGTAATTTTGAACACATATCCTGTAGTAGATTTGCTTTTATCCAAATCCTCTGTATAGTCAGAATCTACATACCCATTGATTAGTAAGTTTGATCCTCCGTAACATAATGCAACATTTGAGGTCCCTTTGATGTATCTCATGATCCTTTTTACTGTATTCCAATGCTCTTTGCCTGGATTTGTCATGTACACACTAACCACTCCCACTGCTTGTGCAATGTCTGGTCTTGTGCATATCATAGCGAACATTAAACTTCCCACTGCTGATGCATACGGTACTCAAGACATCTCCATCCTCTCTTCTTCACTGCTAGGACTCATACTGGAGGATAATTTGAAGTTAATAGGAAGAGGGGTAGAAATTGGCTTACAATATTGCATGCTGAATCGTGACAAGATCTTCTTCAAGTAATTCTTTTGTGAAAGCCAAATCTTTCTATTACTTATGACTCGGTGAATTTGCATCCCTAGAATCTTGTTTGCTGATCCCATGTACTTCATTTCAAATTCCCTAGCCAGTTGTGCCTTCAATTCTTCAATATGATCTTTATTGGGTCCTGCAACCAACATGTCATCCACATACAACAGTAATATAACAAAATTGTTATCACCAGACCTCTTGAAATAAGCACAAGGGTCTGCATTAAGTCTGTTGTATCCAATACACATAATGAAGGAATCAAATCTCTTATACCAACACCTCGGCACCTGCTTTAGACCGTACAGAGATTTGTTCAACCTGCAAATCAAGTTCTTCTTTTCTTTTTCTTCAAAACCTTCAGGCTGGAGCATGCAAATCTCTTCTTCAAGATTTCCATGAAGAAAAGTTGTTTTAACATCTAACTGCTCTAGATGTAAGTTCAATGTAGCACACATTGTCAAGACTACTCGAACTGTTGTTAGTCGAACCACAGGAGAAAAGATTTCATTAAAATCAATACCTTCTTTTTGAGCATATCCTTTGACCATCAGTCTTGCACGATACCTCTCCACTTGATCGTCACCATTTCCCTTGATTTTGAAGACCCATTTGTTACCAATTGGTTTCCTTCCTTGTGGTAGTGGCACAAGGTCCCATGTATTATTTTTATGAAGGGCTTCAATTTCTTCTTGCATCGCCATCATCCACAGTGAAGCATCTGAGCTGTTTATTGCCTCCTGGTATGTTGATGGCTCACCGTCCTCTGTTAAAAGGCAGTATGCAATATTACCTTCTATAACATAATCTGAGTGCCAATTGGGACGTCTTCTAACACGATCTGATTGACAAGTTGTTGGAGCTTCAGAACTCTCTGGATCTTGTTCATCATGTGCTGGTTCTGCTTCTGAAGAATCTCCTTGTTCAACCTCATTTTCTACATGTATCTGTGTAGTCTCTGACTTTTCAGCGCTATCATCATCTTCTTTTCTTTGTAGCTTATCTTCTAAAAAGATAACATCTCTGCTGATGATCACTTTGCGGGTAGTGGGATCCCACAAGCGATACCCCTTTACTCCATCAGCATACCCCAAGAATTTGCATTTCCTAGATTTTGGATCCAGCTTTGAAATTTCTTGGGAGTTGTACATCACATACACTATACTTCTAAATACATGGAGGTTTGAATAATCAGCTGGTTTTCTAGTCCACATCTCCATTGGTGTCTTCAGCTCTATTGTAGTTGATGGAGCTCGAATCAACCAAATAACAAGCGGTATTGAATGCTTCTGCCAGAATGATTTTTCTAGGCCTGCATCCCTCAACATTGCTCTTGTTCTTTCTAACAAGGTTTTGTTCATACGCTCTGCCACTCCATTTTGTTGATGAGTGTTCGCCACTATGAACTGTCTTTTGATGCCTTCTTTCCTGCAAAAGTCATCAAATTCTTGGCTTGTGTATTCTCCTCCATTATATGTTTTGAAACACTTGACCTTATTTCCAGAATTAAGTTCCACCCGCGCTTTGAAGTTTTTGAAAGTTGAAAACACATCTGACTTCTTTTTAATAGGGTACACCCAACATCTCCTGGAGTAGTCATCAATAAATGAGACAAAGTATTTTGCTCCACCAATGGATGTAACCGGTGCTTGCCATACATCAGAGTGAACCAATTCTAGAACACTTTTGCCTCTAGAATTTGATGTGTTAAATTTCAACCGGTGCTGCTTACTTGTTATGCAATGCTCACACAAAGTAAGTGATACCTTTGTTAAGCCTAGAAGTAGCTTTTGCTCCACAAGGACTTTCATTCCTTGTTCTGACATGTGTCCAAGTTTCCGATGCCATAGCATTGCAGAATCTGAACTACATGAGGCAATAGAGGCTTCTGCTTCTAGCAAAGTCTCTCCCTTCAGCATGTACAAGTTTGTTGCTATCTTTTCTCCTTTCAACACCACAAGTGCTCCACGGAACACCTTCATGATTCCTTTACGTGTTTCAATCTTGCTTGCATTATTATCCAATAATCCGTATGATAATAAATTTTTCTTCAGGCCTTTCACGTGTCGCACATCTCGAACAACTTTAATCGGTTCCATCATACATCTTCAATTTGATGGTTCTCACACTGATGATCTCTAAGGCATGATAATTTCAACTATACACAGATCCTCATGAGACAGGTTCAAAATGATGGAACCATTCTCTTCTTGAGGTAATGTGATATGTTGTTCCTGAATCAATGAGCCATATGTCTGCATATCTCTTTCTACTTTCCATAGTGGTTGACGCTTCACAGCATAGAGCATCTTCATCATCTGAAGTGTTTGCGGTATTGCCTTGTAGATTGGAGTTTTTATTTAGACTACAATAATCCTTCTTCAAGTGATCATTCTTTCCACAGTTGTAGCACTTTAAATTCTTCTTGGTTCTCGACTTCGATCTACCATGTTTGTGACTGCTGCTTTGGCCACGTTATGTTGATATCCATCTCATCGTTGTCAACGCTTCTGCTTGTTGCAGATTTACTTGTCTGTCTTCCTTGTTCTTACGTCGATTTTCTTATTGTAGAATAGCAACTGCAACGTCATCGAAGACTAGACTGGTGACATTACTATTTGTCAAGTTGATGATGAGTTGATCATACGAATCTGGTAGACTTTGAAGTAGAAGTTCAGCACGTTCTTGTTCTATTATTTTACAGCTTAAGGATCTAAGCTGAGAAAATAAAGTGTTTAGTGTGTTTAAGTACTCTGTCACTGAAGTAGATTCTGACATCCGGAGAGTGTACAATTTCCTCTTAAGGAAAATTTTATTGTGCAACGATGTGGCCTCGTACAGTTTGGTGAGATGATCCCATATCTCCTTAGTTGTCTTCTTCTCCTCGATGCTTGACAATACTTCATCTGCTAATGCTAGATGAAAGTTTTCTATAGCATTTTCGTCCATTTCGATCCATTTGTTGTCGTCTGTGAAATCTACCGACCTTTCACTGATAGCTGCTAGACAACCGTCTTTCCTCATGATGGCCTTCATCTTCAATTTCCATAATGAGAAATTTCTCCCATTAAATTTTTCAATATCAAATTTCGTTGCCATATATTCTTTTACGGATAACTCCCACTATTTCACTATTGTGAATAGTTCTCTGGAACCTTCAAAGAATGGTAATAACTTCTTACTTTCTTATGTTGGAGGATCCACCTTTTGGTGGCAACCACAAAGACAATAAGCAGATATTACACACTCTAATCTGACTCGGATACCAATTGTTGCGAAAGACGGCTATTTGATAGAGCAAAATCGCAACTAATAATTTGAGAAAATAAAAATGAAGATAAAAGAGACACAAAATTTACGTGGAAAACCCTTAAATAATATAGGGTAAAAACCACGAGCAACGGTAGAAGAATTTCACTATGAGAAAAAATAGGAATTACAACCTCTCTCGATCTACCAAGAAGAAAACAATGATAATTCTCTCTTGATAAAAAGGAGAAAACAACTCTCAAGAAACTCTCTAAATTCTCTCTAGTATTGGAAGAAAGCTAGAATGTTTTGGGATGGTTTTGAAGCTAAATGGGCTAGGGTATTTATAGCTAAATCTTAAGGACTTAATCTTATAAATACCCTAAAGTTTATTGATTAAATTTTGTAATTATACCTTACTAAAATCAACCAAGTTGGCTGCCCACTTAGACTAAATTAGTAGTCGGCTGCTGCCACTATAATTGACAAAACCAAATTTGACTTTTCAACATTTAGCTGGGAGAAAGGGAGACGAGGGTGGGAGGCAGTGTGAGAGGGAGGGGTAGAGGGGAGGGAAATTGTAGGGCAATGGCAGGGAAGGGAACGATCGATTATATTTTTAAAATGTTTTTAAATAATATTTTTTTTAAAATATATAAGTATGATAATTGCCATAATATAATTACTACATAAAGATCTAAAAATATAATAGATAAAGTATTATATACTTATTTTTAGAGAAAAATTCTTTAAATATCTAAAGTTAATTTATGATATAATTTGACCGTTTATTTTTCTTTACATTAAACATATAAAGAAATTAGATTAAGATAACGTGCTTTATATCACATTAGCAAGCTTTGATCATATTTCCTTTGGTTTAGTAATTTCTGGTTGATCAGAAAATGGCGGAGGAGCATACCCACAAGGAGGCCGAGTTCGGTGGCGACCAGGGAGCAGTGGAGAGCAAGGACCGAGGAGTGTTTGACTTCTTGGGGAAGAAAGAAGAGGAGAACCCCAAACCTAAGCAGGAGGCTTTGGCCAGTGAGTTCGAGAAAGTTAAGATAGAAGAATCGAAGGCGGAGGAGGAACGTAAAGAAGGAGAGAAGAAGCCCATTCTCCTCGATAAGCTTCACCGATCCGGTAGCAGCTCCAGCTCTGTATGTATTTTCACTTTCTTTTCTGTTTATGTTAAAAAATTTCCGATATTTGCAAATACTATAACATGCGATATGTTGAGTAAATGTGCAGTCTAGCGACGAAGAAGAAGGTGAAGGCGGAGAAAAGAAGAAGGACAAGAAAAGATTGAAGGAGAAAATCGGAGGAGAAAAGAAAGATGAAACTGCAGTTCCAGTGGAAAAGTCGGACGAGCAGCCAGAGATACCGGAGAAGAAGGGTTTCACTGATAAGATCAAAGAGAAACTCCCGGACAACATAAGAAAGATGAAGAGGATGCAACACCATCACCACCACCGACGCCTGCTACTGTACCAGCTGATAAAGTTGCGGTTGAGCACCATGAAGAAGAGTCGAAAGAGAAGAAGGTACTTTTGGAGAAAATCATGGAGAAGATTCCTGGTTACCACACCAAAACTGAGGAGGAGAAAGAGACCACTGCTTCACATTGAACAATCGATACTCATATATCTGAAGTAAAAATGCCTATGGGATTGTGTGTTTCTTAATTTGTTTTGTTTTTGTTATTGCATATTTCATATAAGCTTGTCTTTTTTTCTGCCTTAAAGTAAAACATTATAGTACTGTTATTGCATATTGCAAGTTCAAGGGCTTAATTATGCATCGATCCTAAAACCATTAAAAAATACATGCATAATAACTAAATGCAAGGAGTTATTTTTTAATATTTTATTTTCATATATTTGAAAGACTTGGAAATTGATTATATATAGTCGATTAATGGGAGTGGTGCTGTTTTAGGTTATCTGAACGACGCAGAAGCGACGGCAGCGACGATTGATTCAGAAGGATGGTTAAAGACGGGTGATCTTTGTTACGTCGATGGTGATGGTTACCTTTACATTGTGGATTGGTTGAAGGAGCTTATCAAATACAAGGGATTTTAGGTGTCTAAAAATCAAACCTATGGGTTGGATACAGTTTGATCACATTACATTCGGCTTATACATTTGCAGGCTTTAGTAATGGCTCTGTTTATATTGTTCTAGGTTCCTCCTGCTGAGCTTGAGGCATTGCTACTTTCTCACCCCCACATTTCTGATGCTGCTGTCGTGCCGTAATTCCATATTCTAGATATGTTATTTCACGGACAACAGACTTATTTTTATCGAATATGTCGAAATACGGTACATTTATGTGTTTTTTTTTTCTTTTTAATTTCTGTTTATTAGGATTCCGGATGATGAGGTTGGGCAGTATCCCATGGCGTATGTGGTTAGGTAAAATGGGAGCAATATATCAGAGACTCGAGTAATGGATTTTATATCGAAGCAGGTAAACGATCGTGTACGTATTTTTGGTAGTATGAAATAAGGATTGAAAAAGTGTAGATGATTTAGACTTTAGTTAACACAGGTAACAGGTAACAGGTAACAGGTAGCAGTTAGCACCATATACAAGAGAATCCGAAAAGTGGCATTCGTAACTTCAATACCCAAGAATCCATCAGGGAACTCGTCAAGCTTGCAATCTCCAGACTCTGAGGAAATTTCACAAGTATTTGAATAATAATTTTCCTGTTTGATATTAAAAATTATCTATTTCTTTTTTAATTTAATGTGATTACAAGTGATAATATTTATTTTTGAATTTTAATTTTTTAACGATAAATATTTAAATACCATACAATTATTACTATTCTAAATCGAAATTTTTATAAATAACAATCATACTATTTGATTCATACAACTTCATAAATTTAATCTCATAAAGTTTATTGCTGGCCCGTTTGTAACACAAAATCCGCAAGAAACACACAATTAACAGTAATCCTTAACAAGTAATTAATTGATTTGATTGGTAAATATAAATCATGTTGGTATGATCTTTTAAGTCAAAATTAAAAATTTTAAGTTCGAATAATTATATTTATAATATATATATATATTATTAATAAATTAAATCATTTTAAATAAATATTATATTATATTTATATCTTATTATTAAAAATTTGATGAGGCATGGATAATCACAAAAGGCATTAATGTACAAATTTTCAGCTAAAGACGTGACCTACTTAAAATTTGATATTGATATTAAATGGGTCAAATCCTAAACCGCCACTTGTCTCCGGGGGCCCGCCCCAAGTAACGTGTCAGAGGGGAAGTGATAACATTTAGGGTAAATTACATAAATCATCACTAAACTTTTATCCATTTCCTATTTTGCTCACTGAATTTTAAAAAATTCACTTTACTAACTAAACTTTTGAATTACTCCTATTTTAGTCACCCTACCGTTAACTATTTAACATGGTTATGACATAACGCAAGCATCAAAACGACATCGTTTTAAAAAATTCAAATCTACACCAAAATAATATCATTTTAAATCTTTATGAAACCCCTTTTCATTTATTCATTTCTTCATTTTCTTTTTTCTCCCCCACCTCACGTTCTCTTTATTTACTCATAAGAGACTAGTTTCCACCGTCATCCACCATAGAATTTTTAACATCGGCCATCTTCGTTGATGGTGATCGTTAAACCCCAAATATCTCTTATAGATTCATTTTCACCTCCCAAGCATGAATATGATATCATTTTCACCAAAACACCTCAAAATTAACATATTTAAGCCAAAACTCTTCGACTTTCTCTTTTTTTTTATCATCTTCATCCATCGTTTGGTAGTATTTTTTTATCATAATCTATATTTTCACTGCTTTCATAATGAGATTTCCTTCTTCTTCTTCTTCTTCTTTTATCGAAAGTTCTTCTTCAGTTAAAAGGTGAATCAAAAAGTGTATCCCTCTCTTTCTTTCGTTCTTTATTTTCCATTTTTTTTCTATTTTTAATTATTGTTGATGGCTACAATATTGTGTTTAGTTCAAAATTTGGGTTAAGTTTTAGTTTAAGCAATTTGTATTAGTTTACTGGGCATTGAGTTTTGTGATGGTTAATAGTGGTGGGATAAAATTGGGGTTTGTGTTTGGTTTAACAGTGAGGAATTGTGGGAATGAAATGGTTTTGGAGTGAGGAATCAATGGTGGTGAAGTTCAGTTGGGTTGTTTTTTATTTAGGGAGTTGGTTGTGGGTTGGAGATTTGCTTTGGGTTCAAAAGAAAATGGCTATTTTGGATGGACATGCGACGGAGCAGATGAAGACAACAGACGTTAGGTGGTACGAAGATGATCGACAATAGGTGGTCGGTGAATATTCGAATTAATAAAACATTAATAGAAGTCTACATGGAAATTCAAAAAAATAATAAAAAAATTCATGTCATCACAGTGTTAAAGAGATAACAAAAGAGTGACTAAAAAAACTCGATCTTCAAAGTTTAGTTAATAAATTGAAATTTTTTAAAATTCAGTGAACAAAATAAAAAAATGATTTATGTAATTTACCCTAAAATTTAAAGTGATAAACGTACAACGAAGCTGGGGCTACCCATCCATTGGGTCCCACCACAACCTAACCACAACAGTTCAAAAATCTCGAACCCTCTTTCGCGTTCACGAATTCCAACACGTGTCCCTACAAAGTGTCCTCCGCGGGACTCACTCGGAGTCATTATCCACGTGGCATGATTCCAGTGGTAGTAAGCTCTCATGATGATAATTTTGCCTTTATGACATTTGACCGTTGTTTTCCCACCAGCGCGGCCTTGTAAAGTAACCCCAGAACTCGGGTTTAAAGGGGGAGTGAAAAACATACAATTATGCTCATAGAGTGGATATTGTTTTAAATAGTGAAAAACATACAACCCAAAATTGATTATTTTCGTTTTCACTAACAGTCACAAGTAATATTTCATTGGTAATAGATTTGATAAAACATCCGCATCAACAAAAATTAATGAAATCTTTGATTAATAACAAAAAAATATTAATCAAAAGATGATATTAAATTCTTTTTTAAAATTAAAAAATCACATTAAAAAATAATATAAATGTCACATTAATTCTTTTATATTAAAAAATAATATAAATGATTTTATACAAAGTTAAAAGCAGAGGTCGGTTGTATTCTATTTTATAACTGCGCCGGAATCTAGTAACGCTTTGAAAATACTACTATAAAAACCCAGTTTCTCATCTCTCCGAACCCATCAATGCGTAGCCAACTTTGTATTCCATTTCATCAAATACATTAGCAAGCTTTGATCATATTTCCTTTGGTTTAGTAATTTCTGGTTGATCAGAAAATGGCGGAGGAGCATACCCACAAGGAGGCCGAGTTCGGTGGCGAGCAGGGAGCAGTGGAGAGCAAGGACCGAGGAGTGTTTGACTTCTTGGGGAAGAAAGAAGAGGAGAACCCCAAACCTAAGCAGGAGGCTTTGGCCAGTGAGTTCGAGAAAGTTAAGATAGAAGAATCGCAGGCGGAGGAGGAACGTAAAGAAGGAGAGAAGAAGCCCACTCTCCTCGACAAGCTTCACCGATCCGGTAGCAGCTCCAGCTCTGTATGTATTTTCACTTTCTTTTCTGTTTATGTTAAAAAAAATTCCGATATTTGCAAATACTATAACATGCGATATGTTGAGTAAATGTGCAGTCTAGCGACGAGGAAGAAGGTGAAGGCGGAGAAAAGAAGGACAAGAAAAGATTGAAGGAGAAAACCGGAGGAGAAAAGAAAGATGAAACTGCAGTTCCAGTGGAAAAGTCGGACGAGCAGCCAGAGACACCGGAGAAGAAGGGTTTCATTGATAAGATCAAAGAGAAACTCCCCGGACAACATAAGAAAGATGAAGAGGATGCAACACCATCACCACCGCCGACGCCTGCTACTGTACCAGCTGATAAAGTTGCGGTTGAGTACCATGAAGAAGAGTCGAATGAGAAGAAGGGACTTTTGGCGAAAATCAAGGAGAAGATTCCTGGTTACCACACCGAAACTGAGGAGGAGAAAGAGACCACTGCTTCACATTGAACAATCGATACTCGTATATCTGAAGTAAAATTGCCTATGGGATTGTGTGTTTCTTAATTTGTTTTGTTTCGTTTTTTTTATTGCATATTTCATATAAGCTTGTCTTTTTTCCTGCTTCAAAGTAAAACATTACAGTACTGTTATTTTGTGTTGTTAATAAACATAGTAATATTATGTAAGAAATGATTGTATATTTTATTTTCCACTTTTTCCCGATGTGATTTGGATAACATTTTCGTAATTAGTTTTGATATGAATAGAGCATTCCATAGATAGTATAACATTTTAAATAATTTTTTATATTCATTTAATAAATAAATACAAATAAATATATTAGATAAATTAATAATTTTTACAAATAAAAATATTATTAACTTGTTTATTAATATATTTATAAATTCGTTAACGTTAGTTTTTTTATTCTGCCCAAAACCATGTAAATGAGCAATCATATATATATTATAATCTTTATAAATTACATATTTGATATATTATTATCTAATTTTGTGTTTTTACATATATTTGAATTCAAATAACTGTACTTTATTGAAAATTAAAATACAGACAAAATGTTGCAAATTAAAATACAGACACAATGTTGCAAATTCATAAAATAGATGATAAACACGTAAAAGCCCTGTTATTATGAGTAACATGGCTCATTTGTCCATCCAGATCAGACATCGGATGCACTTTCCTCCCAGGAGTAATTCAAAGGCTCTGTTGATGTCTTCAAACTTAACCTCATGTGTCACAAATTCGTCCACAGTCAATTCCTGACAAAAGTAATATAAACACTCATATCAAACATCTTTCTCGTACGATGTATATATGTATATAGGTCCAAGTTTACCTTGTCCGTGTAACGTTTTATGAGAAGGGGGACGTCAGTTTTGGTTTTGAGGCCTCCATACAAGCAGCCAGTGAGGGTTTTCCCAGACACAAGAACTTCAGAAGAGCTCAATTTCAACTCTGCACCTGGCTTGTCCACTCCCAGGACAACCGTTTTTCCCCAACCCTGCAATTCCACGGGATGGGATAGTTATATCGCTAGCACATAACGGGATTATACCAGACAAACTTAACCCGAACCCGATTGATTATTTAAACCGATTTATCTGATCTAATATCTAAATTAATTCGAACGTGATGCTTAAATTTGATCCGAAATTCGAATCATACATGATCCAAAATTTAACAGACAAAATATGGACCATATTCAGTTTGACCCGAACAAAAAATAACCCGAATCGAAATTAATCTGAACCAAAAGCAACCCAAATTGAATTTAACCAGATCCGAAAGTAACTCAAACCGAAATTAACTTGAACCAAAAGTAATTCGAACCGAAAATCCATATATTTTGATTAGACTTATAACTGAATTAAGCCTAAATGATAAGATTAACAAAAAGATATATTTTTCACAAAAATATATTAATAATTCTATATATACTTGATTATACTTATAACGAATTCAACCCGAATTGACCTGATTCAAAGGTTGACCCAAACCGAAAATTAATTGATTCGATATTGACATGATTCGAAAATCCATCGATATGATATTGACCCGATCCTAAATCTAATTGATCCGATATTAACCCGACTAAAAAGTTAGTCGATCTGATATGGATTTGAATTGAAAAACAACTGACCCGATAATCAGCCGATCCAAAAACTAACCCACCCGAAAATTGACCTGACCCGATACCCCAACCCAACCTGATTGATCATACACCTGAACTAAATCTGAACTAGATCCAATCCGACCCGAATAAAATGAAACAAAATATAATCTAGACTTGAAATAATCGGACCCAAAATGATACGACCTAAACTTGATCCAAATGACTCGTACGCCACCTCTAAACGTGATCGCATAATAATTTTACGAATTTTCGACAAATTTTGTCTTCAATTGAATTTTCCGGAGAAAAAAAGAGTACCTTTCGACAGCTAGCAAAGGCTTCTTCTACCAAGGATGATATTCCAACACATTCAAAGCAGTAATCTGCACCTCCTCCGGTCATCTCAATGACTAACTGCTCAAAGGAAAGGAAAAAGAAAACACATGTTTGTTAACAATTCTGTTAGTAATCAAAGATACATATACCTCAAAATCTGTAGCTGCACATTTATCTCAAAACATTTTTTTTTATGATAGTCAATGAATTTGAATAATTAAAGTTGTATTCGTATTTATTTGTTTATCTTTGAAGGTGATTGTATTAAGTTCGTTTAGTATTTACGAACATGTTTGTTTAATGCTCGCAAATATGTTCGCTAACATATTCATTTAATGTTCGTCAACATGTCAGTTTAACGTTTGCAAAAATATTATTTGATGTGATCCCCTCAACAACTAACTCTATTTTGCTCTTTTATTTGCAACTCTATTTTTACTCTTTTATTCGCAAGTCAATAAAAAATGATGAAATTATTCCACTAGTCCTTAAACTCTTTATGTTTAATTGTTTGAACTCTAAAGTTTATCATATATTGAATTTAGTATCTATATTCACCAAAATTTAAAATAAAAAAAAATGGAAACCAGATAAACAAGCTTATAAAATAATCGATAAACAAGCTTTCAAATGAGGTTGTTCATTTAATAAACGAATCGAACACACCTCTATGTGTTGTTTATTAAATGAACATAAAACTTTTGTTTACTCATTTATTTAGCTTCATAAATGAATTTTATATGAATGGTTTGAATAGACCTAACAAATTTGACTCCTATCCGATTATTTGAATCGATTTGCTTGATTTGAGACTTGATATATACTTGAATAGGACGACCTAAAATTGATCTGAAACTTAAAATAACCCGAATCGAAATCAACCTGAATTTTAGTTGAATCGAAAGTAACCTAAACCGAAAGCAACCCGAACCGAAAAATCCGAATGAAAGCAACCCAAATTTAATTTACCTACGTATGATCTGAATCGAACTTTGACCCGATAATTGAGTCTAAGTGAATGAATAATTTATTTATTTATTTATATATTTTTTATTATTATTATCATCATCATCATCTACGTTTAGCATTGATAAATAGTAAAATGACGTATGTTTTATTTTCATTTTATATTATGATATTAGTTAACTACCACTTTTAGTAATAGTTTAATGGTTCAATAATCTTTCCAGTTAAAGGATTATCTCTATATTTGATGAAATAACTTCTAGCTCTGAATTTGGATTGTGATATTATATATTCACATAAAATTATTAATTCAATTGATTAAATCTAAAACTTCTAGCTTTGAATTTGGGATGTGATAATATGTATATTCACATAAAATTCTCGAATTATAAATAATAAAGAGAAACAGTAAAGTTATGACGAAAAAGAACGACAATGATTGATCTAGAAATCTAAAGGTCAACTCGAATTGAAACTGACTCAAATTGACCCGAAAATCTAGTAGTTGACCCGAACCTAAACCAACCTATATGATATTAACCCGACTAGAAGCCAACTGATATGATATTGACCCGAACCGAAAACCAACCGATTCGATTTTAACCCAACCTGAACTAAATTTTCATAGACCTGAACTAAACCCGAACCAGATCTGATCCGACCCGAACTGAATCTAAACTGAAATAACCTAGACACAAAATGGTTTGATCCGAAAAGACCCAACCCAAATCCGATCTGAATGACCCGATTGCCACCTCCAAATTCAAACAATTCATCAAATGTTATATTCATTTATACCCATATGCTTCATAACAGAGTTCTGCTCCATCAAAAGCTGGTTGAAACCAACCGAAAAATATATTGTAAAGACATAAGAACAAGAAGAAGTAGACCTGGCTTAGAGATTTGTCCCCACATTCTTTTGAATTGATAAACTCAGTGACCCCAAAAATTTTTGCTGCATATATGTGAAAGAAGAAACATCAACAGAAAATCACGCAAAACAAGCCATTATCATCATGTACAACCATCACTACTCGTGTAAGGAGAATTTGGCTATTTTTCAAATGACCTTTGAGTCCCAAATTGAATAACAATTCCATACATGCATAATTTTACTCACCAACTTCAAATTTATCTGGGTTCACATCCACTCCTATAATTCTAGCTGCACCACACAGTTTTGCTCCCTTTGCAACCTAGAAAACAAAGCAAACCGTAAATCAGTTTTTCAAACTCAAAAACATGTATGGATATCGGATCGTGAGAAAAACTTCCGATTGAGATTATACCGCTAGACCGATCGATCCCAGCCCGAAGATGGCAACTGTTGATCCTGCCACAACCTTTGCCGTTTTGCAAGCAGCACCAACCCCTTAAAAAAAACAATGATGATATTGTAGTACACCTTTTATCAAACACTTTGCAAACAGGAAATGGCAGCAGGATCTAAGGACCATTACCTGTGGCTACACAACAGCCAAACAGGCAAGCCCTATTTGGAGGAATTGAAGGATCAATCTTGACTACATTAGAAACATCGACCACCGTGTACTCGGAGAAACTCGAAACATTTAGGAAATGATATAAAGTCTCTCCCTTAAGGTCAGTGAATCTGCTGGTCTCGTATCTAGGCATCCATTGAGTGACCCTGAATGGGAGTTTTGAACACAAATTGCTGTGTTCCGAACGGCAATCGTCACACTCACCACATTCCGGCATGAAACTGGAATGACAACATCCCCTGCTGCGACCTCGTTTACATTCTCACCCACACTCTCCACCACTCTGAGACATAATGTCCGATTTGTAAATTGAATGAAAAATGGATCTGATCCCAGGGTTTAAACAATAAAAAGACTGCCTAAATGAAAGTCAACGAAGAATACAAGCTCACCCGACAGCCTCGTGGCCCAGAATTCTGGGGAAACAAGCAGGAGGGTCCTTCAAGTAATAATTAAGTTTCAGGTAAGCAACAAAAAGGACGGAATTCAAGAGGGAAAAAAAGGGTTGAATCACGGAAAGAAACCTTCAGTTTCCAGAAGGTGACGTCGCTGTGACAGAGAGATGTGCAAATGATTCGAATTCGAACTTCGTAAGGACTAGGAGGAGCCACCATGATTTCCTCTATAACTAGAGGCTCCCCTGCTTCGCGACAAATTGCAGCTGAAAAGCACATAGCAACACTCTGTTTAATGCAAAACAAAGCAA